ATACAAATGTACATGTGTCCCACATGAAGATTAATATACCACATATATCTACACAGCAGAGTAAGGAGAAGCAAAAAGAATGGGTCTTACATATAATATGGAGATTCTTCTGTTTCTGGAGAAGCCATGTTTAGGACTGCAGATTCAAATGGGCCAGATTCATCTACTATGTCCCAGATGAAGACATTTCATTAAGGGGAACGGCGAGTCTTGAATATTCCCAAATTGAGGACTTCAAGCTGGAGTTTCTTTCTATATCTGAGAAAGATATATTAGTTTATTTATTTAATAGTTGTATTAATTACTGTATATAGATTCAACTTCAAAAATCCATCAACATTTTCTATTGTGATTAAATTTGTAAAATTCCTCTATAAAAAATAGTCCATGTAAATATATATATATATATATATATATATATATATATATATATATATATATACCTAGTACCAACAAACCTACCTAGGTTTCACCTAAACGGATCGTCAGGGAAAGTCAGGCTGACTTTCCTGACGATCTGTTTAGGTGAAACCTAGGTAGGTTTGTCTGGCTCACTAGGTGTATCTAGGTCTGCTCTACGGTTGTATTGAGCACTTTGTTAGTTAGTTGTTTACTCGTATCAGGGTTTTTTCTTTGGGCTTCAGACCTGCATCTCTGCGATTTTTTTGTCGACAGAAGTTCATGTTTGTAGCTCTTTCTTTTTTTAAAACCTTTTTTTCCCTTGAGATTGATTTGATTAGCAAATCAAAAATTTGAGGGTTTTTCGAAACGAGTCTAGTTATCTATATTTATATGTATGTATGTATGTATGTATATATATATATATATATTTTAAGCATATCACATCATGCAAGGTGGGAGTGCAACTAGCACACAAAGGGCCACAGAGAGTAAGAGTAAAGAGGGGGGTGTTTGAGAAAAAGATAAGGAGAAGGACAAAGATCAAGATCAAAGCATCAGAAGATGTCGATCGACATTACATTTGAATATTTGAAGATTATAGCTATCAGGATAACAAGTAAGAGGAAGGGAGTTCCACTGCTGGGAAGTGTGAGAGAAGAAGCTGTTGGAGTAGAAGAGACGGCTACATTTAACCATTTCAACAGTGAAAGGGTGGGAATTAAATTCATGCAGTTTGGGTAAAGATACACTAATATGGAAAAGAATGAAGATTTTTAATAATATGTACATATTATTTGGAATGTACCTTTTTAGTCAATCTTGGAAAGGTGGAGAGTGACATTCTGAACCATGGCAAAAAGGATGAGAACCACTGTATTAACCAGTGTTTTATGCCCTGTCAATGGTGATAACAAATTTGTATATTCAGTTTTAAAATCAGCTTTCTAAAAATTTGTTATTCATTTCTCATCTGTTCTGTTGGAAGCAACGGCAAATACTTTTCTGTTCATTGGCAATTCAAGAGGATAAGGAGAGTTGTCAAACGCACACAAGCAGTAGAGACTCTAGCTTTAGTGGCTCTTACTGAGTCTTGTATATATTACAAAACATTACTTTGTGAAATTCTGCACATAGATGATTTGTCAAAGATCCCCATAGTCTGCTCTGGAGTACATAGTGCCACTCATTTGACCAATCTCATTCTTGATAAAAGGTTGAGAGTTGAGATGGCCATCCTCAAAGAAACGCTGGCTAAGGATGAATTAGAGGAAATCATATGGATTTCCCAAGAACACCAAATGGCCGATATTCTTACGAAAAGAGGCGTTTCCATGCCAAAAATCATGAGATGCATGTCAGGCCATGAGAGAGAAAAATGAGGGAGAAATGTTAACTTGTGACTTATCAGAAATTGAACCTGAAACCTTCTCATAATAAATTGTAGGTTGGTTTAATTTAAATAAGATTGTTTCAGCCAATCAGGGGCAGGCTTGGGATTGTAGCAGGCACTACTTAAGACACACACAAATTTGTTCAGGAGTAAAAAGTCATTTTCCTGGGGAGGTGCTAACAGTTTGGTCTATTGGATTAACTCTGTGTCACTACTCATTTCACATGGTCTTTTGTGATCTCTATAAATAAGCGATTGTTTTACTGAGGGCTTTTATAAATACCTAGATTACCTTATTATTCTAATAAAGCTATTTTTTGCACTGAAAGGGGTAATGACCTTTAGCATTTAGATCAAAACCTGAAAATAAAGGAAGTAAGTAATGTTGATATTTTTAATAATATACTTTGGAAATCTAACAAATTAAGATTTACATTTCTGAAATATTTTTTTCTTTTTCATTGATTTGTTTTTTGTAATAAAGAATTAATTTATTTATACTTGCATTAATTTAAAGGAAAAATAGCAAATATCATTAAATACAAATTGAAAAAAACAAATATATTTAGCATTGCTTTTGATCAATTGTGCTAAACAGTTATCTTTGTCTGAGAAGTCTGTATATGCGATAAAAGTATTATCATTAAAACAGTTCAGCTGGTTTGAAAATTTTAGAAGTCATTTCCATCTGAATTTCTGAAATGAAGATTTATCATTATATTATTTACAGACTAATGTCCTCATCTCTGTTATTATTGAAATCACAGTTACTGTGTCAATTAAGAAAGAAATAGAAATGGTGATGGATGGAGCCAAGGCGTAATCATCATTTAATCATCAAGGCTTCAGCAACAAGAGGAGCCAATTGAAGCATTAAGTTTAAGACTCCAAGTCTTAGATTCAGTATTATCCAACAGAACAATAACCTAGATTATTAGAACATTGGTTCATGAATTTGGTGACATAGTAATTGTGAGTTCAATCCCTAGGTTGGGTAGTAAAGATTCAGATTCAGTAGAAACAGGACTAGCAATTACTACAAAAAAAACTATTCCTAGACATGTGTGGTGATTCATTTGAATTCTCTAGTTCAAATAAAAATACAATCCTTACATTATTTACTGCTGGACTCATGCCTCTTTTTTTACTGTTACTATTAAAATATTTAAGCTGTTACTCTCCTGTCTTCTTTAGCTGTCTCTTATAATCTATGGTGTTCTGAATTCAAGGAGAGATGATGCATCCATCCAAAGTTTCAAGAAATTTCAGGTATTTTTAATACATATGAAACATGATTAACCAATTGAAAATCAAACAAAATAAAAGTAAAAATACCAGAATTTCTTTCTTATTTTTCTTCAGATCTTATTCTCTGATGAATATTTAATAAAAGTGAAACATGTTAGATTGATAAACATTTTCTATTTTTTCTTTATCTTATCATTATCATATATATATATATATATATATATATATATATATATATATATATAAAGTTGTTTGGTGTCTGTTTAGATTTTTGAAACAGTCCACTAAAAATAAAACGTTTTTCATGTGTATACTTATACATAAATACACACCAATCGAAGCATATACATAGAGCTTTTTATATATATATATATATATATATATACTGGGGTTGGTATGGAGCAATTCTTTGCAAGTTGTCCTGCTTGGATCTTGCACATTCAAAGTTGTCTTCATCTTCTATTTTAAGTGGGAAGTAGATTTAAATCCAACTTAAAAATGCCAAAACATATTTACAAAAGAAAGAAATCCCCCCCAAAAAACCTACCACCTGACTACGGACATCAGGTTTAAGGCTCCAAATTGATAGCATTACATTATCCAAAAGATACAAGTAGAAATAGATAAAAGTTTAGAAAAGTCATATATTCTGTTTAATTGAAAAACAAAAACAACACAAAGATAAATACAGTGGAGAGCATTAATTGGTATCCACTAAACATATGAGGATGAGAACAATCTACCACATCAATTCAATAAAGTGTTTTATTTTGTACAACAGGCACCTGATGAAGGCTGAAAACTTCTTCCAGTTTAATTGAGAATAAATTTAAATCCAAGTTGGAAATCCCAAAACATGTTTAGAAAAGAACGGACTTGCAAGAATCTTACCACCTGATTACAGTCATCAGTTTTAAATCACTAAATTGACAGCATTAGATTGTCCGAAAGATACAAGTCTAAGTAGATTAAAGTTTAGAAAAGTAATTAAACTGGAGAGGATTAATTGATATCTGTTATCCATTAAACATAGAAAACAGGATGAAGGTTTAGTCAAAAAATTCCAAGGGTGTTCTTTAGTACAAAAGACACCTGAAGAACATTAAAACAACTGACAAGGTGTTATGATATTTCTGCCTGTAGCAAACCGCAAGCTCACATGGCATCTTTCAGATTTTAAGATTAGGTGCAAATTTATTTATATGGGACTAACTCTGGGAAATAAATATGTTGCCTCTCCATTTGAATTTTCTTTGACCAGGAATATATCTGTTGAGACATAATTTTGAGTGTTTTATCTTTTCGTGGTTAATATTTTGAAAAGGTTTAAATGATTGATTCTAATTCTATGAAGCAAGAGAGGAAGCTTTGTCATATGTACTAGCATTAATTATTCTCAGGTTGTTGGTGGCCAGTAATTAAATGTAGAATGTTGTTCTGGAAGATCTTAACTTTTTGAGAAAGTTTCTCATTCCATGTGAGGCCATCAAGTTTGTCATAAAAACTGGAAGAATGTACATTTTGTATATGTTCACTTTAGGCACATACTTTTCAGACATAATCCAAGTACATATATATATATATATATATGATTTGATACATTGACACACATACACACACACACACAAAGAAGTATATATTTACAAATAAATGCATTCATAGCATGCATATATAAAATATATAGAGTGAAACATCTAATATATATATATATATATATATGACCTATTCTGGACCACTGATTCTTTCTCTAAAGAGCCTAATTAAACTTTGAAATTTCATTTGGGAAAAAATTTCAAACTTCAACTATTCAACCTAAATATTAATTGGCTTTCTATACAAAATGTTGAATGCTTTATCAACAACTTCTATTTTTCTTAATCGAGTTAAAATGGCTGTAAAGAAATTAATTTTATAGTTAATAATGACCTCCAGAACAAAGTGATAAAGTGAAGAAGGACGATTAGCAGATGAGAAAAAGAAGGGAAGTAAGAGAGTGATTAAAGGAAAGTGGTAAGTAGGAAAAAGAGAGGAAGTAAAAGAATGATTGGGTGGAAAAAGAGAAAGAGAAGTAAGAGAGACATTTGCTGGAATTAAAACATGGAGAAAATAAAGGAGATAAGAGGGAGATTGAGGAGAATTATCAGATGGGTAAAAGAGAGAAGGTAAGAGAGAAATTTGGTGGAATTAAAACATGAGGAAGTAAGAGAAAGTTTGAGAGAAATTAGGAAACAGAAAAAAGGGAGTCAGTAAGAGGAAATTGGGAGAAATAGAAAATGAGGAAAAGAGAAGAAGTAAAAGAGATATGAGGGAATTAAAACAAGGAGGTAACAGAGAGTTTGAGGAGAATTAGCAAATGGGGAAAAGAGAGAATGACAGAGATTGATGGAAGTTAGAAGATAGGAGGTAAGAGTCAGAGTGAGAGGAATTAGAAGTCATGAAGAATAGCGGGAGGTAGGAGAGACATTGAGAGGAAATAGCAGATGGGAAAAGAGAGGAGATGAGGGAGATTGAGGGGAATTAGCAGCTAATGAAAAGAGAGAAAGTTTGAGATTCAGAAGTATTAGCAGATGTGAAAAAGATATGAGATTGAGAAGAGTTATCAGATTGGAGAAAGAGAGAAGGTAAGAGAAATTAACAGATGGTAAAGAAAGAGGAGGTATGAGGGAGAACTGAGAAGAGTTAGCAGATTGGAGAAAGAGAGGAGGTAAGAGAAATTAACAGATGGTAAAGAAAGAGGAGGTATGAGGGAGAACTGAGAAGAGTTATCAGATTGGAGAAAGAGAGAAGGTAAGAGAAATTAACAGATGGTAAAGAAAGAGGAGGTATGAGGGAGAACTGAGAAGAGTTAGCAGATTGGAGAAAGAGAGGAGGTAAGAGAAATTAACAGATGGTAAAAGAAAGAGGAGGTATGAGGGAGAACTGAGAAGAGTTAGCAGATTGGAGAAAGAGAGGAGGTAAGAGAAATTAACAGATGGTAAAGAAAGAGGAGGTATGAGGGAGAACTGAGAAGAGTTAGCAGATTGGAGAAAGAGAGGAGGTAAGAGAAATTAACATATGGTAAAGAAAGAGGAGGTATGAGGGAGAACTGAGAAGAGTTAGCAGATTGGAGAAAGAGAGGAAGTAAGAGAAATTAACAGATGGTAAAGAAAGAGGAGGTATGAGGGAGAACTGAGAAGAGTTAGCAGATTGGAGAAAGAGAGGAGGTAAGAGAAATTAACAGATGGTAAAGAAAGAGGAGGTATGAGGGAGAACTGAGAAGAGTTAGCAGATTGGAGAAAGTAACAGAAATTAACAGATGGTAAAGAAAGAGGAGGTAAGAGAAATTAACAGATGGTAAAAGAGAAATTAACAGATGGTAAAGAAAGGAGGTATGAGGGAGAACTGAGAAGAGATTGGAGAAAGAGAGGAAGTAAGAGAAATAACAGATGGTAAAGAAAGAAGGTTTGAGGGAGAACTGAGAAGAGTTAACAGATTGGAGAAAGAGAAAAGAGAAATTAACAGATGGTAAAGAAAAGGGAGGTATGAGGGAGAACTGAGGAGAGTTAGCAGATTGGAGAAAGAGGAGGTAAGAGAAATTAACAGATGGTAAAGAAAGAGGAGGTATGAGGGAGAACTGAGAAGAGTTAGCAGATTGGAGAAAGAGAGGAGGTAAGAGAAATTAACAGATGGTAAAGAAAGAGAGAGGTATGAGGGAGAACTGAGAAGAAGCAGATTGGAGAAAGAGAGGAAGTAAGAAAATTAACAGATGGTAAAGAAAGAGGAGGTTTGAGGGAGAACTGAGAAGAGTTAGCAGATTGGAGAAAGAGAGGAGGTAAGAAAATTAACAGATGGTAAAAAAAAGAAATGAGGGAGGAGGTTATGGAGAAAGAGGAGAACAGATGGTAAAGGAGGAGGTTAGGGAGAACTGAGAAGAGTTGGATTGGAGAAAGAGAGGAGGTAAGAGAAATTAACAGATGGTAAAGAAAGAGGAGGTATGAGGGAGAACTGAGAAGAGTTAGCAGATTGGAGAAAGAGAGGAGGTAAGAGAAATTAACAGATGGTAAAGAAAGAGGAGGTATGAGGAGAACTGAGAAGAGTTAGCAGATTGGAGAAAGAGAGGAGGTAAGAGAAATTAACAGATGGTAAAGAAAGAGGAGGTATGAGGAGGGAGGAGAAAGAGAGGAGAAGATGGTAAAAAGTTAGGGAGAACTGAAGAGAGTTAGCAGATTGGAGAAAGAGAGTAAGAGGGGAGATGAAGGTGATTAATAGATAGGGAGGATGAGGAATGAGAGCAAATAAGAAAGAAATTGATGCTGAGAGAGAAAAGAAAACCGTTAAAACAGAACAGTATTGAAAGTGAAAGTAGACAAAAGGTGTGGCAGTAAGGATGATGGTGATTATGATGTAGATAATGATGGTAAAAATGGTGGGAATGATAACCAAAAATAATGCCCCCTATTCATGAAAAAAAAAAATGAATATATATTTTCTAGACACTAACTGCTTTTGACAGTTTCTTTTACATAGCAAGCAAATCCTTCTCTCATGATAATGATGCATGAAATATTTGTTCCATGTTTTGAATCCTGGATTGATTCAAAAATCAACCAATCCTTTGTACTGCCCTGGCAACTGCTAAAATATGATTGCACTTCATTCATTTTTTTTTTTTTAACCTCCATTTTTATCTGTTGAATGGCAGGACTCAGTAAAGGGCATTGGTAAATAGTTACTCAAATAAATATTAGTAATACTTCAATATTTAGAACAATAAAAAAAAACACTTTCTGAGGCAAGCTGTTTGATAACTATTGTCCTGTTGTATTTTGTTCAGTTTTAGATAAGTCCATCATTTTTTAAATATATGAGATCATTGCAAAAGTTTGTAGTTAATTTTCATTGTTAATATAAAATGACTGCAACACTAGTGTTTGTATTGGTGTCTGGTATACTCTCGATTAAAATCTTGCTTCATTCAGTTGCAAGTCAGTCTTTGTTGAATCTTTATGTACTGTCCACAAAGATGGAGGATGGAAAGTTGTATTTCATCTTATTATGCTCTATGAATTTTGGAAAGGAGTAAGTGTCGGAACCACAAAAATGTATTAAGATGGTTTATTTGGATTGTGTGCCAGCTGACTGGATGGCCAAAAATGGTCTGACAGATTTTGTCAGGGTTATTTTAATCCAAACAGTCAACCATGTTCCAGTCAATCTTCTGACATTGATGAAAATGCTCTGCTTGTAATTATGGAGAATAAACCAAAGATTAAAATGGAAGATATGGCTCAGAGTTTGAGAATTACTATCTCAACTACTTTTTGCCATCTGAAGAAACTTGGGTTCAAGGAAATTGTCTGACTTTGACAAATCAGAAAGTCATATTCCACCATGACAATGCAAGACCGCATGTTGTAAAACAAACCTTGAAGAAGCTTAAAAATTAGAGATGTGAAACCTTTGAGCTCCCACCATATTCTCCAGACATGGTCCCTCCAGATTTTAATATGTTCTGGTCTCTGCAGAACAATTTAAATAACCCAAAATCTTTGACTCTGTACAGTCAGTCAAAAAATACCTCACAACCTTCTTCCAACAAGAAACATGAAGCTTCTACAAAAATGGCATCAACATGCTTCTAGATTGATAGAATACTTAAAACCAATGAAGAATATATATATATATATATATATATATATATATATATATATATATATATATATGACTGATAAATGTTTTTTTGTGAGTATGTAAAATTTTGTTTTTAATTTTCTAATCAGGCACAAACTTTTGAAATGACCTAACAGTTCATCAAATTGATGCTTTCCAAGGACTATAATTATTATGATTCATAATTATCATAATTTAAGGACTATAATCATTATGATTCATAATTCAAGAACTATAATCATTATGATTCTTAATTATCATAATTTAAAGACTATAATCGTTATGATTCATAATTATCATTATTCAAGGACTATAATCATTATGATTCATAATTATCATAATTTAAGGACTATAATCATTATGATTCATAATTCAAGAACTATAATCATTATGATTCTTAATTATCATAATTTAAAGACTATAATCATTATGATTCATAATTATCATTATTCAAGGACTATAATCATTATGGGTCTGTAAGTGTGATCATCTTTTAGATTATTTGTTTGAATTAGTATCCTTAGCAAAATTTCAGTTGTAACTTTAAACTTCAAGTGTCTGAAAGTTACAAGTTTTGCTTTTCACATTAGTATGCTTATCTTGGTTATATTCACAAAGTTTCAACTGCTGTACTCTTTAACCTTCTTTAGATGTCTACCTTCATACTTGGTAATATTGGAATTCCAAATCAAACCCTTTATTCTACCTATGGAGGTAGATTGTTCACATTCTACTTAACCTGTTTTATTCACCTTTGTGTGGCTCACTCACTCAACTAGAATATATGAGTTTTCAACTCTACCACATACAGAGATTGAACTCTCAATTATCAGTGAACCAGATATGTTTGAAGCAATTCCTTAAATCTTGCAGCTGTGTATCTTGGACACAAATGTTAATCACAAAGGTAATATTAGCCACTTCTTTATAGGGAAATATTTGGCATTCATTGACATTAGCATGAAAGTTCCTCCTTGAAGGAGTTTCTAACACATGGCTTATTATCTCTCAGTTGCATCTCTGTCTTTGGGCAGAGTGTGCTCAGGGGCTACTCTATCAAAGGACAGAGTGGTAACTGAGATGATTATACTGAGAGGTGCCCAGTCCTGGGGAACAGCTACCCGAGGCAGTGCCCTCTCATGTCACCAGAGAGAGGGATCAGTGCTCGCATTGAGGCCAATGCAAACAACAGTTGCAGGGGATGTGGCCAATTTTTATCCCTTGCCCAGGTGTTTGTGCTTGGGTCCCCACTTTAAAAAAGACCTTGTGTTGCATCCCAGTAGTGGGAACAAGTAAATACCACATTCATTGACTGAGCAGCCAGTGCTACTTGTGTTAAGTTTTACTTCAAATCCTGGTCATCAGGTTGGTATCAAAGTGTAGTATCTGTTCTCCTAATCTCTGATGGCAATGTTAGCCATTTACGTATAGGGAAATGTTCTGTGTTCATTGACCGAGCAGCCAGTGTTACTTGAGTTAGACTCAAATCCATTTTAATTATTGATCTGAGGAATCAGTTGTGTACAGCTGTCTGTTTTGATATTTCTGAATGAGTTTTTCAACACGCATGGCATCCAAATAAAATTGTTGAAAGATAAAAATGATTGCAGGATATTACCTGTTACCTGCATGAAATCCCAAGGAGATTAAATTGAAATTCTTATGAAATCTCTGAAAAATAAAGAAATTTTAATTATCTTATATTCAAATTTATTATTTATATTCAGACTAATGTCCTCAACTTTGTTGTTATTATCACAATGTTTCAATCATTGTGTTCTCCAGCCTTCTTCAGGTGTCTGCGTAAACGTCAGTGTATTTTGAACTGAATATTTTATTTAATCTATGGGGGAAGTAGGTGGTAGATTGTACTTATTCCACTGTCTTGTCTCTTTCTTAGTAATTTTCACTTTTTGCTTGCCCTTTTAGTACTGAGTCTAAGTCTGCACTAGCTGGACCAGGGATTGAACTCACAAACCAACATTTTCATACACCAAACTATTCTCAAAATGGATGCCTGGGAGTGTGACAGTGATTTGGAATAAGAAATCTGGAAGCTGAGTTTGAATTCCAGTTGATTTTGTTATATTCATTAATATTATTGGCAAAGGTATAAATCCATCTCTTCTCTCCCACCAGCTATGGATAAATAGCAGGACAGGTTGATCCCTATAGCCTTGATTGGCAACCAGTCTAAGACAAGGAAAACTCTGAATTCAAACCAACCTGGTAAGAGTTGGGTTCCATCAGGCTATCTTTCCCACAATACACCACTATTGCTCTGTCTACATGATTGTGATTATCCAAATAAAATAATATTAAAATTTCTTGAAAGATTGTATCCTGTTTTTGACTCATGAATAACATGTCTACAAAAGTATGATAACACTGATTAATTAGATATTTATAATGAAGGTATTGACAGAATTATTTTATTTTATATTCAAGTTTATTCTCTAAACCAAACTAAAATTTGCATTCTTGAAAAATAAGATATCATTCATGCCTTTATACCAATTATCTTCACAAATGCACACTGTCGGTGATTAGATATTTTTACTGTATGGATAATTAAGATTTTAGAAGTACATAAATGATTTATTCTCAGAACATGACTGAAATTTGTCTTTTTGAAAAGATTAGATTCACATCTTTGGACCCTGAGTATCAATGGCATCCTTAAATGTGTATTGATACTTAATATATAATTAGATATAGATATAAATTAAGATTTTGAAACTACATCATTTATTTATTTCATATTCAGAATTATTCCCTGTAAAACCTGAAATTTTTATTTTAGAAAAATTAGAGTTTCACATAATATAACTTTTTTAGCAGCAGGGTGTTTTTGCTCTGAAAGGACAATAGATATTCCTCGTGATGGAACCTAATGGTCTTGGCAATCATATATGTGGCCTTCTTGAATTATTCCTGAAATTACCAATACTAGATGCACACACTATGGCAGTTGTGTGCAATCATAAAAATCTGCCTCTTTTCAGGGTGTTTCATGCCTTAAGGGTGAAGAAATGGATTCAGAGCCACACACAGAAAAACATTTTTCCAAAAAGATGGCCACTAAATTCATCTGCTTCCAGTCCTTCTGAGATTGACTCATTGAATTGGGTTTTTTATGGCTTATCAACCCTTTGTGAGTTAGTTAAAGCCAAAACATATTTTGGATTGTAGGAATAATTCTATTTTTTGTGAGTGAATATTGCATTAACAATTCTCTGAGAATAACAATGATTTTTCCAGATACAACTTCTACTATTAAATGAATTCATATTTTCCCAACGGTATTTGTGCATAAGGGAATGTAATGACCCTGACTGGAATTTGAACTCTGATCTCCAAATTTTCATTCCACTCCTGCTGAAAATATTGAAACCATTGTAAAGGAGCATCTCAAAAATGTCAACATTTTTAACAGCATTTAATAAGATATTTGGCAAACTGTGAGATGAATCAAAGACCAAATGTTCAGAAATTAGGCTGAATTTTGAGAAGGCTTCTGCCAGGAAATCATTTCTGAAATATTGATAATACATTGATTGAGTATAGCTTGCAAAAAAAAAAGAAGTTATTTTTATTCTTTAGAATATCAGCTTTGACTAATTGGTACATTCTTAGAATCAAAAGGTCTACCCAGAATTTTGAATAATTTGAAAACCATTTACATGACTTTCATGTGACTTGGCAACCTATCAAAGGAGACCTTACTTTAAATGTATAAAAATAAACAGTATATTGTATTACTCAGTAGTTAGATGCCATTGACTGAGCTTCAGTACTGTGTGACAATAACGTTCACAATAGTATGTGTCAAAACTTTGAATCAACCAGGCCTGTCAGACACGCTAAAGTTTAGACATATCTTCCTGTGAATTTACACCTGTCAATGAGATTAAGGAAATTTTTTTTTTTTTTAATTGTTTGTTTAGTGGCATATCAACACCTTATGGGTCATTTAATGCCAAAATTTAATTTGCTTGGAAGCATTAGTAATTTCTTTGACAAAAATATTTTGCTGGTAATATTTTTTTCTTTTACAAAATATGTCTTGCTGGTAATATTTTTTTCCCTACATAAATGTATTGCTGGTACTTTTTTACTATAAAAATGTAACTGGTATTTTTACTATAAAATTTTTATACTTTCATCATGCTTTAATCCCATTAATTATTTGCCAGTAGCTGGGACCCTTACAGGTGTTACTACCACCCCAGATCAGGCTAGACCTGGGAACAACAACAACAATTAAGAGATGGTTCCACACTGCTCAAATCCTCCTGCTCAGAGGCCTTGCTGCTGGATGTAGTCTATCATCATACCCAGGACATTAAAGAAAATGTGACAAAGAAACAGATGGAGATCCCTAAAGTGATTTAAATAGTGGAAGAGACATAAAGTGGTTTGCCTAAGATAGGGTGCTTTTCATTAATATTAAATTTCCAGGGGTACCTAATATTCAAATAGATATGAACAAAATAAGATAGATACATTTTTCTGAGTTTGGTTAATACATTCAGTCAGTTATGTGCCATGCATGATACACGCTTAGGCAATCGTGTATCTTTCGATACATGTCCGACAAGGCAGATTTTTTTCCCCATAGTAGGTTGCCATTTCTTTCTGTGGTAGACTAGTTGCCATTCAAGGCTATAGAACCCATTCTGCCCTGCTATTTACCCATACATGTGGGGAGAACAAGAGGATTCATACCTTTCCTAAGGGTATTAGCACGTAAGTGAATGTTATGGATTCGAGTGGAATTTGAACTTGGCTCTCCAATTCTTCAATCCAAGCCACTATCCATTACTCCACCGTGCCTCCTCTATAGGTTAATACATTACTTGACATATTGAAAATGATAAATCAGAACTGTCATCTTGTCAACATATAATCATAATGATTACACTACATATCACTGACCCACACCTTGTGCACCTGCTATATACTGATACATTGATTTTATATTTTAACTTGCATACAAAAGAGTGATTCTTATTGTATCACAAAGAACACAATTTCTCAAACCTTTATCAATGACAAGCACTTCTGTAATTAATATATTTACTAAAACACTCTTATTTTTTTGATCAGTTTTTATTAAGTAAAAAGAAAAATTAATATGATTTTTGACACAACTTATTCCAGGTTTATCAATCCTTGATTCTCTTGAAGAGAGGCTGAGTGTCACAGTTGAACAAACATTTGTATTGACACTGGCTATTAAAAGCTTATTAATTGTTGACGCTCTAAAGAAGAGTCTCCTGGATGAACATACATTTGTACTGGCATTTTCTATAAAAATGATCATCAATCCTTTGTTTTATATGAGAATGCTGAAAATTTCTTGGCCCTTACCAAACGACTTTAACTTCCAAAGATCTGAAATATGTTCAGATTTTAGGAAGTGGGTTGAATCAAGAACTGGCTCATAGTTATCTTTTTTGTATATATATATATATATAGCTGTGTGTGTGTATGTATTAATCAAGAATCAAATTGAAAGCTCTCATAGACAAGTTAGTAAAGGAAAACATGAAGAAAAGACAATATTAAGAAAACAGAATGCATGGTTCTCAGCAAAAGAGACAGCCAAAGGTATAAGCTACATATTAGGGACATCAAAATCAAGAAGGTACAGAAATTTAGCTATCCAGGTGGGCTTATGGCTGCATCACATTGAAACACTGATTCCAGTATGTCCACTGAAGTTAAGCAATGCCAAGCCTAGTCAGTACATAAATGGATGACCACATGGGAATACCAGGTGCTGTAAGCTCGAATGTGCAAATGGTGCAATGGATAGTGGCTCAAAATTAGAAATTGGATCACCAAGTTCCAATTCCAGTTAGTCTTATTATATTGATTTATGTGCAAATACCCTTGGGAAAGATATGAATCTACTTCTTCTCCCCACAGCTATAGATTAATGAGTAAGATTGTATCACTAAAAATATTATTATCTCAAAAAAAAAATAAAATTGTGTACAAAATATTTAGATTTTGAGGTTAGGATAACTCATAGAGGTTGATATGCTATTGAAACAGAAACAACCAACTATCCAGGTAGTATAGTAACAAATAATGAAAAGTATGATACAGAGATCCAAAGGCATATAGAGAAGTGAAAAAGATGTCTTCCAGAAACTATGCAAGGTATCAAGAGATAAGAAACTATCCTTATAAATAAAGAAAAGATTGATGAAATACTGTGTAATATCTAATCTCCTATATGCAGTATATTGGACAATCTCTTTACAGATGAAGAAAATATTTTAATCAACAGAGATGGTTTTACAGAAGGATGCTAGGAATAGCATGGAGAGCATGAGAGCAACAAGGAAGTTTGACAGAGAATAGGATCAATAAAAAACTTACAGTCAGAAAGAGACAGCTGAAGTTTCTGGAATACATAATGAGAAAGGAGAGCTTAGAGAATGTAGCACTCACAGGGCATATGAAAGGCAATGGAAGCAAAGTGAAACAGGAAGAGATGGTAAAACAGGGACAAGGAGACATGGTAAAACAGGGACTAGACGAGATGGTAGAACAGGGACTAGAAGAGATGGTAAAACAGGGACAATGAGACATGGTAGAACAGGGACTAGAAGAGATGGTAGAACAGGAACAAGGAGACATGGTAGAACAGGGACTAGAAGAGATGGTAAAACAGAGACAAGGGGAGATGCTCTTTATTTTCCTATTCTTCTTCTTTTATGTACTGTGGCCTTTCATTACATGAGCGATCATGGATATCCACAACTTCCTATTCTTATTAACTCTTAGCAGTGTTTGTCTTTCCACTCTCTTTTGTACCTCTTGTTCCATTCATTTACATAAGCTTGTTAGGGAGATTATTCTCAGTTTCTCTCTGCCTCTCTTGTCTTCAGTATGTCCTGTGAGTATCAAATTTTCCAAGCCCTCTTTCCTCATTATGCGTCCTAGAAATTTCAACTTTCTTTCTGATTCTAATTAGAAGTGTCCTTTTCTTCAAAACTTCCTCATTGCTCAAATAGTCTGTCTGTGTTATTCACAACATGCTTCCATAGAATCATATCTGTGTTGCCCCAAATTGTTTTTAATATGCCTTATTTCCCTGCAATAATAATAATAATAATAATAATAATAATTCTTGTACCTCAAGAAAAATATTTTTAAAAAAAACATTAAATAAAATTTTGATGAAATAAATTTTATTGCATGCTAAAAGCTAAAATATTTTTTCTCACTATCCAATTGTGATGATAACCAATGAACTGAGATACATTGACAGAAAATCGTAGATATTGTCAAGTTCTGGCAAGGTAGTGTATATAAATTCTTCATAGAAATCATTTTTTTTTCTCTTTCAGCCATTGTATATGCATTCTCTTCTTTTTTTACAAACGCTGTAGCTTTTAAGTATTATTCATGAAAGAAATAAAAAAAGATCTTAAAGAGAACAGAAATAATCATATTGTCACTTCATTATTATTAAAGACATTGGCATTATTTCTGACAATTCTCATCTTTTTATCTTTAGAAGAAAAAAAACATGATAATTGCAGGTGTCTTCTACAGTGATTTTTATCATGTACTTTTTTGTTTTTATAAGTTTCCGTGGAATTTACTTTCCTAAGAAGCTGAAATCTACCCACCTTCAGGTTTGTCAGTTGGTGTGTCTGTGTGTTAGCATGTGGCAGATGATTGCAAAATATTTATACTTCTCCACGTTAATGCTTACATATATATATATGTGTGTGTGTGTGTGTGTGTGTGAGAGAGAGATGTGTTGATAGATATTTGTAGAACTACATGAGTAGGTCTCTCTTCTTTCAGAACAGCTCATAAATTTTTTTTTTTTATAAAAGACTTATTATTTGCAAAATAAAGATGAGAGGGAGAAGATAGAAAAAATGAACGGAAATACAAGATATTAGCAACAAAAAGGAAAAGAAAAAATAGAAATTTTAAAAGAAAAGAGCATCAAAGAAGACAAAAACAAGAATAAAAAGTTAGTACAGGAAGTGACAATAGGTTATCAACAAAAGAGACAGGAAAATAGATATAAAAACAAGAGAGGGAGAATTTAAAAGGTTACAAGAGGGAGAAGGTACGTAGAGTAGAGGACGAGACAAGAGATTTGCAATATATAGAAAAAAAGAAATGGAGATGTAAAAAAGGAGAGGAGAGCTTGAATGAAAACAAGATAATGTGTGTACAGAGAAAAAAAAATGTTTAGTGAAGAAGGAAAATAAAAAAAAAAAAAAAAAAGTGAGAGAGAAAGCAGAAGGGAGAACACTTAAAAGAATAAGAAAGAAAAAGAATAAAATTATTATAACAACAGAAGTGAGAGAAGAAAAGATAGTAGAAAAGTAAGTGTAAAACATTGATGAGGTTGGAGGTCTGGAAATAGGAGAAGGATGAGGAAGAAAGATGCGAGGGAAAGAATGGATAAGAAAAACTAAAGAGGGGTGAAAGGCAATGAGAAAAGGTAGAAAAAGAAACCTGGGAGGGAGAAATAGAAAGTCATTAGGAAATAAATAAGAGGTGAAGTAAAAGAGCTGGGTGAAAAGGACAGAAAGAAAATAGGCAAAAAGAAATAGAGAAGAGAAAAGAAGAGAGTGAAACAGAGAAGAGGAAGAAACAGAGAAGAGGAAAGAAGAGAGTGAAACAGGGAAGAGGAAAGAAGAGAGTGAAACAGGGAAGAGGAAAAGAAGAAGAAGAGAGGAAACAAGGGAAAGAGGGAAGAAGAGAGAAACAGGGAAGAGGAAAGAAGAGAGAAACAGGGAAAAGAGAGTGAAACAGGAAGAAAAGAAGAGAGTGAAACAGGAAGAGAAAAAGGAAGAAGAAGAAGAGAAAAAGAAGAGAGGAAACAGGGAAAAAAAGAAGGGAAAGAAAAGAAGAGGAAACAGGGAAGAGGAAGAGGAAAGGAAGAGGAAAAGAAGAGAGTGAAACAGGGAAAGAAGAGAGGAAAAGGAAGAGAAAAGAGAGGAAAGAAAAGAAGAGAAAACAGGGAAAGGGAAAGAGAGAAATGAAACAGGGAAGAGGAAAAGAAGAGAAAAGAAACAGAGAAGAGAAAAAAGAAGAGAGTGAAACAGGGAAAAAAAGAAGAGAGGAAACAGAGGAAAGAAGAGAAAACAGGGAAGAGGAAAGAAGAGGAAACAGGGAAGAGGAAAAAGAAGGAAACAGGGAAGAGAAAAGAAGAGAGGAAAGAGAAGAGAAAAGAGGAAATAGAGAAGAGAAAAGAAGAGAGTGAAAGGGAAGAGGAAAGGAGAAAACAGGGAAGAGAAAGAAGAGAGTGAAACAGAGGAAAGAAGAGAGTGAAATAGAGAAGAGAAAAGAGAAGAAACAGAAAGAGAAGAGAAAACAGGGAAGAGAAAAGAAGAGAGGAAACAGAGAAGAAGAGGAAAGAAGAGAAAGAAAGAAGAGTGAAACAGGGAAGAGAAAAGAAGAGAGTGAAACAGGAAGAGGAAAGAGAAGAAACAGAAAAGAAGAAAAGGGAAGAAGAAGAGGAATAGAGAAGAGGAAAGAAGTGACTGAAACAGAGAAAAGAAGAGAGTGAAACAGGGAAAAAGAAGAGAGGAAAAGGGAAGAGAAGAAGGAAACAGGAAGAAAGAAGGAAACAGAGAAAAGAAGAAAAACAGGGAAGAGAAAAGAAGAGAGTGAAACAGGGAAAAGAAGAGAGTGAAACAGGGAAGAGAAAAGAAAGGGAAGAGAAAGTGAGAAAACAGGGAAGAGGAAAGAAGAGAGAAAGAAAGAGGAAGAGAGGAAAGAGGGAAAGAGAGTGAAACAGGGAAGAGGAAAGAAGAGAGTGAAATAGAGAAGAGAAAAGAAGTGACAGGAAACAGAGAAAAGAAGAGAGTGAAACAGGGAAGAGGAAAGAAGAGAGTGAAACAGGGAAGAGAAAAGAAGAGAGTGAAACAGGGAAGAGGAAAGAAGAGAGTGAAGAGAAGAAGGAAGAGGAAAAAAAGAAGAAACAGGGAAAAGAAAGAAACAGGAAGAGGGAGGAAGAGAAAGAGAAAAAGAAGAGAGAAACAGGGAAGAAAAGAAAGAGAAGAGAGGAAACAGGGAAGGAAGAGAAGAGAGGAAAAGGGAAAAGAAGAGAAACAGGGAAGAGGAAAGAAGAGAGTGAAAAGGAAGAGAAAAGGAGAAAACAGGAAGAGAAAAGAAAGGAAAGAAAAAGAAGAGGAAACAGGAAGAGGGAAAGAAGAGAGGAAACAGGGAAGAGGGGAAAGAAAGAGAAACAGGAAGAGAAAAGAAAGAGGAAAGAGAAGAGAGGAAACAGAGAAAAGAAGAAGAAGGGAAGAGGAAAGAAGAGAGAAAAGGGAAGAGAAAAGAAGAGAGAAACAGGAAGAGGAAAAGAAGAGAGAAAAAAGAGAAGAAACAGGGAAAAGAAGAGTGAAAAGGGGAAGAGAAAAGAAGAGAGGAAACAGGGAAAGGAGAGAGAAAAGAGAAGAGGGAAAGAAGAGAGTGAAAGAGGAAGAGGAAGAAGAGAGTGAAACAGGGAAAAGAGAGAAAAAAGAAGAGAAAACAGGGGAAGAGGAAAGAAGAGAGAAACAGAAGAGGAAAGAAGAGACAAACAGAAGAGGAAAGAGAAGAGAGAAGAGGAAAGGAGAGAGAAAGAGGGAAGAGAAAAGAAGAGAGGAAATAGAGGAAGAGAAAAGAAGAGAAGAGAAACAGGAAAAGAAAAGAAGAGAAGAGAAACAGGGAAGAGGAAAGAAGAGAGAGAAACAGGAAGGAAAAGAAGAAGGAAAAAGAGAAAGAGAGAAACAGAAAGAAGAGAGAAAGAAAGAGAAAGAAGAGAGAAACAGGAAAAAGAAGAGAGAAATGGGAAGAGGAAAGAAGAGGAAACAGGGAAAAGAAAGAAAGAAGAGAAAAAAAGAAGAAAAAGAAGAGAGGAAAGAGGGAAAGAAGAAAGAAGAAGGGAAAGAAGGGAAACAGGGAAAGAAGAGAGTGAAACAGGAAGAGAAAAGAAGAGAAAACAGGGAAAGAAGAGAGAAAGGGAAGAGGGGAAGAGAAAAGAAAAAGAGAAACAGGGGAAGAGAAAAGAAAAGGAAGAAAAGGGAAGAAAAGAAGAGAGAAAACAGAAAAAGAAGAGAAGAAACAGAAGAGAAAAGAAAGAGTGAGAAGAGGAAAGAAGGGAAACAGAAAGAGAAAGAAGAGAGGAAACAGGAAAAGAAGAGAGGAAAAAGAGAAAAGAAGAGAGAAACAGAGAAAAGAGAAAAGAAGAAGAAAAGAAGAGAGAGAAACAGAAAGAGGAAAAAGAGAGAAACAGGGAAAGGAAGAGAGGAAACAAAAAGAAGAGAAAAGAAGAAAGAAGAGAGGAAAAAGAGAGAAGAGGAAAAGAAAAGAAGAGGAGGAAACAGGGAAAAAGAGAAAAGAAAGACAGTAGAAAGAAAGAAGAGAAACAGAGAGGAAAGTAGAGGGAACAAAGAGAAAAGAAGAGAGTGAAACAGGAAGAGGAAAGAAGAGAGAAACAGAAAGAGAAAGAAGAGAAAAAGAAAAAGAAGAGAGTGAAACAGGAAAGAAGAAAAAGAAAACAGAGAAGAGGAAAAAAGAGGAAAAAAGAAAAAGAAGAGAAAACAAGGAAGAGGAAAGAAAGAGTGAAACAGAGAAAAGGAAAGAGAAAAGAAGAGGAAAGAAGAGAAAAACTGGAATTATAGATTAATGAGAAAGTAACTTGAGGAGAAGGTTAAGTAAAAGAAAGAATACGAAATGTATGTACAACATGAATAAATGCTAATATACTATCAACGGATTTCATTAAAGAAATATATTCTAAGACTTAAACCAAGGCTGAGTCAATTTCATTTTATTGCTTAGTTTGGCATCATTCTTTTCACAAAATAGTTTCATCTCAGTTCTGCGATATTCTCCAAAACCTGAGACTACACCACCTGTCAGGGAAACAGGCCTCTCCACCACCACCTTGTACTGATTAGCATTTATCAGACCTAAAAACACGTCAATTCAATTAGGCATACTACCAACAGAATATCAGTCATGTCAGTTGAGTTTAATAAAAGCAGTCACCTGACTTTAATTTAAGATGAATCAGCAATAAAATTTAAATATTTTTGACATTAGCTGCTTTTAATAGCAGTTGAAATTCAGCAGACAAATGAGTTTGATCTTCTCTCACTCACCTGCTGTCATACGACTAAAGAAACAAAAGCGAGTAAAAATAATTCAGCAAAATATACCTGCAGATCAATAAGTGTGTTAGATTTGCAGAGTTTTATGCTATTTCAGTGTTCATTTACATCATAATGTCTCATGTTTTATGCTATTTCAGTGTTCATTTACATCATAATGTCTCATGTTTTATGCTATTTCAGTGTTCATTTACATCATAATGTCTCATGTTTTATGCTATTTCAGTGTTCATTTACATCATAATGTCTCATGTTTTATGAGAGACAGACCTAATAGAAACAGGATGAGCAATAACTGAGCAATAAGAACAAACCCCAAATATAGACAGCAGAAAAAGAACCATAGATTAAATATAGTTTACCATTCAAAATTTGCTGAATGTTATCTTAATAGTTACCTGAAGAAGGTCAGAGAGAACTGTCAAAATGTTATGATAATAACAACGAAAAAGTGATTAGTTTGAATATCTTTTATCAATGCTGAGATTGCCTACCAGCAGGTGTGTGACTGAGTGATTACAATGTTCACTTTCTGACCATGAGATCAGGATTCAAATCTCAACATCATTCATTTGTCAGCAAGGTGACTTTTTGACTATCTGTCTATCTATCTATATATATATATATATATATATATATATATATATATACACACACACACACACACAGACTGTTTCGCTGTACCAATCACAGCTCATCAGTGTGGCTAAACGTCTGATTGCTTCAAGCTAGGATCAAAACCTAACAAATTAGGTATCAGTCAGAGATTTTACCCCTAGGCTATCTTTGCACGGTAGAGAGGAAGGGAAATTTTAACATTTTCTATACAAAATACGTCAGTGGCCTGGAGAGGTCAATTCAATTTGTTTGAAAAGCAATGCATTAATAGCAGTATGAGCCACTGTTTTTTAAAATTACTCTTTTCTCAAGAGAGCTCAACTGGATTTTCCGGGAGTATATATATTGTCATCCACAGACAGTTTCGCTGTATCACAACTCTTCAATGTGGCTAGATGTCCAACTGCTTCAAGCCGGGATCGAAACGCAACTGATTTGGTATCAGTCAGAGATTCTACCCCTCGACTATCATTGCACAGCAGAGTGGAAGAAAAATTTTAACGTTTTCTCTGCGAAATACGTCAGTGACCTGGAGAGCTCAATTCAATTTGTTTGAAGAGACACTACAGGCCAAAAGTTTTGGGGACAACCCTAAGGATTTAATAATTAGCAAGTTTAAAACATTTTTGGGGTTTAGCTAACTCCTACTAAGGATGCTGAAAATATTTAATCCATTTGTGCATGACTTTCAGTTTTTGAGAGCAAGGGTTACCTAAAATTTTAAATCAGCCAGCCTTAAGGTTAACATTAATCAGTATTGTAAATGTGGCAAAAAGAACTAAATTTTAAGGAAACTTTATGATAAAAACACTCCAGGAAGAAAAAAAGTTCCTCTGTCTCAAAGTGAGTGAGTAAATTTGTTTTTGAAAAAGTCATGCAAACTTTAATTTTTTTAGGTGATTCTGCAAAATCCAGTGGGTGGCCATAAATAAGGAGAATCTGCTTGCAGTAGATTAAATAAAGTGTTCATATCAAAATTCTTATATGGTTACCTTGATCAACAGATGCTTGAAGAAGGCTGCAAGGCACAGTGACTAAAACATTGTGATAACAACAACAACAATGATGAGGACATCAGTCTGAAAGTAAATAACAATCAGTCACCTACAGTGTTTAAACAAACCATTTTTCTTGGCAAACAAAGTTGCCTACAGGAGTACTAAAGGTGAAAATTATAATTAGTAGTATAGAGCACATATCCATATGAGCAATCATGACTCACCACTACTTCCTCTCCCTTGCAGCTCCAAGCAACCCTTAGCTCTCCCATTCTCTTTGTTCATGCTTTTCAATCCATTCACACAAACACATTAAGTAATTTACTCACTATTTCCTTTTAACCATCCTTCCCTCAATAGTCTTGTGAGTGTTAAATTTTCCAAGTCATTCATCCTTATGATGTGTCCTAGAAATTTCAACTATGTTTCTGATTTTGATTTCTTGTTCCTATTTTCTTTAGAACTTTTTACTTGCTCATGTATTCAATCTGTGGCATTTTCAGCACTATTCTGTAAAACCATGTCTTTGTCACCTTGAATCTCTTCTTCATCTGTGAGGAAATAGTTCACTATAAGACATCAAATAGAAATATTTGTTATTTATGATTAGAATTGAATGTAAAAATAAAGGACTAAAGGCTATCCATCTAGATTTGAATTATTCTAACTGCATGGCCTTTGTAACCTAACTGGTAAAGTAGCTGTTATATTAAAACAAACTCCTCATAATCTGTGAGTTGTAAAGTTGTAACAAAAAAAGCAACAGAAATGAAAAGATATATTGAACTAAAATAAATGCTAAAATTTTCATCTAAAAATGCTAATAATAATAATAATAATAATAATATATATATATATATATATATATATATATATATATATATATAAAGCTCTTGATTATGATTCCAATATAATAATTTATCATCATGGAATATTAGTGTTTGAACCTTTTAAATTATATTCTTACTCTGTTCTGGACATTGGGTTCCCATTCTGGATTCTATCCTCTTGAAATTTATATATATATATATATATATATATATATATATATATCTATAGACCACTGATATTATATATATATATATATATATATATATATACTGATATTATATATATATATATATATATATATATATATATATATATATATATAGATATATATATATATATATATATATATATATTGACCACTGATATTATATATATATATATATATATATATATATTATATATATATATTATATATATATATATATATATATATATATATAGACCACTGATATTATATATATATATATATATATATATATATATATACTGATATTATATATATATATATATATATAGACCACTGATATATATATATATATATATATATTATTATATGATATTATATATATATATATATATATAGACCACTGATATATATATATATATATATATATATATATATATATATTGACCACTGATATATATATATATATATATATATATATATTGACCACTGATATATATATATATATATATATATATATATATATTGACTATATATATATATATATATATATATATATATATATCAGGACCAGTTCTGTGGTTTGGTTCCCTAACTCTGAAAATATTCTTGTAACTCATTTTCTGAAATCTCACATGCTGCTGAATGTCAGCAAAATTTTTCTCCTTTTTCAGACATTTTTTGTTTTTTGTATTGGCCAAAATTCATTTTGGATCCTACATCTGGTGAATAAGTTGGATATCCTATTTTTGCAATGGGTTTCTTTGCAAAAGCAACATTTCTTCTCCAAAAATATTGTATTAGAACCCAATGCATTGTTTTTCTGCTATGAGTCACACACATAATCTTTGATGTGAGCACACTAAGATTCTACATTTGCATTTGTTCATTGTGTTTTTGGTTGCCTACTGCTGGCATTATCATGCCCATCTTCTTGTCCAGAGTTGAATTGCCTGTCTCACTCAAAAATACTTGATTTCCTCATATTATGTTCACTATAAGGTCACTTTTAATAGGCCTAATGTTTAATTTATATTTTTACTAATCTTCATGCAAAACTAATCTCCTGCTCTAGATTTCTTTCACTTATATCTCCAAAGAGCATAACATGAACACTGACAAAATCCTCTACATCTCAGCAAGAACAAACTACTCTGGTATATATCAAGTAAATAGATGTTGGAATATTTGCTTGACTCATTACTCCAGCAACTCACTGCATGTGTTCCACCTCATATATATATATATATATATATATATATATATTTATAAAAGTGAACATTGAAGTCAACACTCAGAGGTGACAGGCTGTTTCATGCTGGACGCAATCGTCAAGCCACGAACGTTGGAATTTTTCTTGGCTATTTATATATATAGGTCAGTGGTGCATTGTGGGTAATCTATTCTGGCAATTATTTTTGTGGGTGTGGCTTGTTTGTTCATTTATTTATTTATTTGGGTTAATTTATTTTACTTGTTTTTCATTTTTATGTGTGTTATTTATTCTTTTTGTTTTTATTAACACAGTAAAAAATTTGCGGGGATTTGCTTAGGTCACTTATTTAATAGTTTGTTTTGGTCTGGGAAGATAATTAAAGCTTTTTATTTGTCCAATGTTTAGATTGTTTGCCGTAGTCTATTTTGTTATTTTGGCAGGTGGACAGTTTCCAATTTATTATTTGTATTGATTATTTTTACTTGTTTTTTCTTATTTATGCTTATTTTTATTGTTTCTAATAGTCACCTCTGACTGTTGACTTCAGTGTTCACTTTTATATTTATATTTACATACACTCTACCTCTGATATTGAGCACTTTATCCCATAAATATAGTGCACCTTTATATATATATATATATATATATATATGTTTTATGTAATTTATAAGATCTCTCGGTTTTAACTCGCTGTAATTTATTTATTTCTTATACATATATTATTATTCGTAAAGTTTTAAAACGGTTTTATTTATAAGCACTCTCGGCTTGATTCACTGTAATCTATTAATTTCAATGGCTGTATTTTCTTATCTCTGTATATAGTAATTATTGCTGGTGAAATGAAACGTGAGGGGAAGTGGGTAAAAACGGAAAACATAATTACCTTCTAAGTATCCGATGAGGGGGTGTCCACCAAAAAAAAAAAAAAGAAAAAGTAAAAAATTACCCGTAAACGGCTTAAATAGATCTCGCACCGTTGTGATTGGCTGTTGGTCAATTT